CAGCAGTTCATCCTCAGTGTCGTCAATGGCGATGGGTGGAGTGCCAACGCAAGGACCGCCATCGTATCCTACCCAACCACCGCAGCAACAGCCACCACAGCAGCAACAACAGCAACAGCCTGGAACTGGTTTCGTAGGGCAGCAGCCTCAGCAGTCCGCTGCAGGCTCTTCACAACAAGGATACTCTTACTCACATGGGTACGTTCATTATAAGGCAGTGATTGCTGATATAGTCATGCAGTGCTTTCTGCAATTCCATTGCTCAAAACTTTTGTGACAACCTTACATTGGGAATCTTTCCGTGTTCTGTTTTCTTTCCAAATTTCTCTACTACTCCAGGTTGTACATACAGTGTTTGCCTCTTTCAACAGAATTTTCGTGCAATTCCACTGCTGCAGCTCCAAAAATTGTGGTCTTGTTCGCTGCGGATGAAGGAGCCTCTCAGGCGGGGTGGGTTTGGCGCGGAGCCAAACAATTCTTGCACCAGTTGGTGAAGCGAGCAAGCGGCAAGTCTCTCATATCCTTCATGTCAGTCGTTTTTCGTCTGTTGCTGTCGCTATCCGCTTCAAAAACTGTTGAAGAATGGGTTTAGCCGCGCCAAATCCATCACGATGACACGCCCATTCAGTCGCGGCGAAAAAGTTTATTAAAAGGTTTTTGTTGGTTTTTCGTCCCTAGAAGGTATGATCACAAACATGACATCCATTTTTGGCACAACTCTTTTGGCTGCAGGGCATCTGTTTCCAGTCATTATGTCGAATCCGATAAGGGATTTGAGTAAAAAGTTCGAAGAGTTCCGACAAGTCAGCGTGCATAAAGATAAGCTATGACTGATCTGTTCTTTTTGCAGCGTTCCTGCTCCTACCTTTCCCGCGACTTCCAGTGCTGCCCCTCCTGCCCATGCTCCCAACGTCAATGTTCATCAAGCAGGCACTCATCCCACTGTTCCAAAAGCGGTACGAAGGCTATGTTGCTGATTTTTTTCATACTGTATCTCCATGATGGTGGGTTTATCATATTAAATTGGGTGCTGTCACCGAAGAATTCCTGTTTAGGAAACGAAAAGACCACTGAATCCTCCACCATATTCTCCTCAAATACTAGAACACTTGGAGAAATTCTCGGTTGGAACTCTTACTGTTATCGGTCGTGAACTAGTCAGCGAACTCACTACAAGGTACTGTTCCTGGTTGTTCGAAGCTTCTATTCGATCGTTGATGAAAATGGTGTTCCGGACTAATTGGCCTCTTTGTCGTCTATGACCCCATTCTTCGAAATGTGAGCTAGATTTTGTTGGAGTGTCACCCTAAGAACCATAGGGAAGAATTGTCCGGAACTTTGTAGCTATGGAAGGTTTTACAGGCTTATCGCGAAAATAAGGTAAGATTGTCAAAAAAAATTTCCGTTACAAGGGCTTGTTTTAGTCTCTATGTTGCAGCTTCCTTTATTTTTGTCAGCTGCGCGTCAATGTCGTTATTCCGTCAGTTTAACCTCACTGTCTTCCTCACAGAGTTGACGGAATGAACAGCAGATAGTTCAAGGTCAGGGACGAACCGAGGCATCTGTGTTCTGTAGTAGTTTCTCAGCATCATTCCTGTTTTCTCTTTCTCAACTGTCTTCAACGCTCGTGGTTCCGACGCACGCTTGACGCTACGCGGCTATTCTGTTCGCACCGAGTGCATTTTTTTCCGGTCAAATCTGGTTCCAGGGACGGATTAAGTCAAGAAACCAAGTTCAGTGTCGAGAAGACTGTTTGAAGTGGTCTGTACTATTTGCAGGACTCATAGCTTATGCGTCTCACTGAAAGCTGTGTCCGAACGAAAGCCGCCGACTGCTGGAGATCCAGAGCAGTTGTTGGAGTACTGCCAGATGCTCATGGATAAGCTTGTTGAAATTCGGTGGGCGATATATCCTAGATTAGTTATACCGGGCGTGGAAAGGGCGTGGCTGCGTACTTTATTCGAATTTGTCATAGGATGTGTTTTTAATTTAAATAATAGTTACATTTGAGACAACTACTACTCTGTCTTCTGGTGGACAAAGGCATGCTTAGAATCTCATCGCGGTAATATCTCAACGAGGCACGTCGTGCGCTGGGGTTCTCCAGTCGGTTGGTCGCTGAAAGAAGGGATTTGTATTTGCCTTTGGGGAAACTGTATTTAAGTTGTTGATTTTTTTTGGTTCTTCTTGCTTCATGTGTAATTTACCTCTCCCACCTCGCCTGACGGGAGACAGTTGGAGGAGACAGTTTCTTCTTCAGTTTTTGAAGAAGAAGCAGAGGAATTTTGAAAAAAAAACGTTGGAGAATTGGCAGAAAGCCGGAAAACTTTCGAATGCTGATGCAGGATGGAGGCGAATTATTATATATTAGGGAAGGAGTTTTAGTGGGGCCGTATTACGTGAAATTTCTCCCCATCGGTAGGGCGCGCCCTGTATCCTATCAGAACTGCAGCCATTGTCACGTTTGGATGAAGTCAGCCACGCGCAGCCCACTTTAATATGGTGTATACTTGATGGGTTCGTATCCGGCAGCAATAAATTGAAGTTTATTATTCAGGCTAAGAATAGAGAAGAAGGTGGGACGAAAGCGACTGAATACAACAGATTACATAAGAAGAATGAGTGATATGACGCCACCTGTTGACGATGCCCCACCAGAGTTGAAAGAGAAAAGGCAGCAATTTGAAGAGAACAGGTTGGTCAATGAGATTTAGTATATTTCTGAGAGGAATTTTATTTCTATTTTCTAGAGCGAAACTCTGCACATTGAACAATGACTTGAAAATGCTCGAATGGATGGCAAGTGTGACGGATCCGTCCCTTTTGAAAAAAGTCGATAAAATGGCAACGTCCGTACGAGAGCGGGAGTAGACTTTGTGGTTTTCTGTCTATGTCACCGCACAAAATTATCTTTCCCACTCACTTTTGCATGAGGGATACGTCGCATACTGCTCGCGGATATGTCAAGGTATACGCTATACAGCTTTTGGGCTACGTTGTCCGCTAACTTCTTTACAAACCACTGAGAAAATCCCGATTTCTCCTGTGGACATTATCTGGTACGGTGAATGCAGTACATCGTGACGTGTGAGATTGGTGCCAGTGCGACCCCCCCCCCCACCTAAAAAGGGTCTCGGCACGATTCCCCCACGTCCCCAACTTTTCACCCCGGGAAATCACGCGAAAAGTCAACAACCGGGGAATTTTTGCCCAACGCGGCAGATTTCTTTCGCGTCCACATACCCCCCTTTTCCCAACAACGACTGAATACGACCCCTCCTCCCCAGCCGAAAAGTACGACCCCTATGTATTTCACACAACGATGCTGTACCCTGACCATAAATGCGACATATCCATGGCATAAAAACTTGCGCTTTGTTTCCCATTGAAAGAATCCGGGTACTCTACATTATTTGTTGTAATGTTGTTGGATGTTTTGTGAAATAATAAAGTGATTTCTATACTAAATAATGTTTTGGAAAGACGTGACTGGGTAGGATCTACCAAATATTGGATTGTATAGTGTTTACTGACGCGTTTATCTGAGCAATCATCTTCTTGAAGATGCCGAAAACCTCAATCTTCAAAACACGAGTAGGAACAGAGTTACTTATGGGGAAGGTAGTCAAGCTCAGTAACATTGGCATCGATCATGTTCCATGTGCACAGGTAACAAGGTTTTTTGAACCCATTTTCAGTTCGCGAAGGTCTAGTCTTAGGTGAGATGCAGTATGAACGAGTTCAATGTATACCTTGAAGAAGTACTTTGCCCGTGCATTTGAGTTTTGGGCTCTGGATCGGTGAGATGTTAAAATTACTGCAGTATCAATTTAGACAAGGCTATTATCAATATTTTGCGAGCATCGCGGTCTGTCATAATCTCTGCGACACCACACGTATTGCATAACTTGCGTCACTCCACACTAAGATTTACTGGAGTGGGAGGGGTGGGGGTGTGAGGAGGAAGAGCGATTAGCTAACCAGGAAAGCTCCAGGTCAGTCCGGTTATCTGCAATTAACTTGCACATCATTGTACGCATTCTGAGAGCTCCAATCTGCCACTGTAATGCGCTATATGATCCTCTGAACGAGTAGAGTTATTGGGGGTGCTTCCCATTCTTTTTTCTCGAAGGCTATCGAAGAGGCTCCGCCAACTTTGGCGCACATAGCCAGTTTCATGCGAAACGGATGCGATAGTCGTTTTCAGACGTCAGATAACCCCGAGCGCATTGCGTCACTCCACACTAAGATTTACTGGAGTGGGAGGGGTGGGGGGTGTGAGGAGGAAGAGCGATTAGCTAACCAGGAAAGCTCCAGGTCAGTCCGGTCATCTGCAATTAACTTGCACATCATTGTACGCGTTCTGAGAGGTGAACTCAAATCTGCCACTGGAATGCGCTATATGATCCTCTGAACGAGTAGAGTTATTGGGGGTGCTTCCCATTCTTTTTTCTCGAAGGCTATCGAAGAGGCTCCGCCAACTTTGGCGCACATAGCCAGTTTCATGCGAAACGGATGCGATAGTCGTTTTCAGACGTCAGATAACCCCGAGCGATGGCACTCTGGCGAATTCTGAGATTATAATCAAAACTTCGAAAAAATGGGGTTGGATAACTTATAAGTGAACCAGATACACAGTAGAGCACTTCCCTCTACAACTGCAAATTGGTGGATTCCAACCTAAACGCAGTTCTCAATTATTCTGTTCTACTTCACGATATATTTGCTTCCAAAAGCTTTACACACGGCCTTTGCAGAGAATCAAAAGGACAGCTTGGCGATACTGTGCTGATACGACGAATTGGAATTGATCAAAGGCCTACCACTAATGTTGCTCATGCTATTGATCGTGTTGTATTTAAATATGGTAGCTTTTTCAGTGTACATTCTGCTTTGATTGGGTTATAATGCTCCAAACGCTTCAGCTTTCATCTATCGATTTAATATCTATGAATGTTTGACGGATTCAGGTAACATTGTCGATCCTGTGACTGGTAAACGTGTCATTAAAGACGAATTTGCTGATGAAATTGAACTCCGTCGTCAACTTGTAGGAGAGATCATTGACGCTCCATTAGAACAGGTGAGACATGCCTTCATCTTCTTTCGTCTTCGATCCTCGTTTTTCCACCTAGTTCTCTACTAGAGGGTAAAAATTGTGCAACGACAAGTGGCCTGCTTACCACGGGCCGTCCTGGGGTCAGATGCCGAATCGGCTCCCGCTCACGTTGACGAAGCCTTCCTTCTCCTGGGGGCGACAAGTTGTGCTAGATTTGTCTAATAGTCAGAGAAAAAGAGCAATAGCTTATACATAGGCACCGCAGGTCATGTAGGGGACCTACTTCATTCAACGAGCCGCTACGATTCTGAGCGGAAGTACACTCAAAATCCCTGAGACGGGGTAAGTGTGGCTGCGTACTTGAACTAAACCTGACCGTGGCTGTGTCCGAGGAGATATTTTCATTTTCACATAATTGTGTCGTGTCACTGTCCAGCACTGAACAAGATGACAGTTGTCTCGAACTGGAATATCCCACGAGTAACCTATTCTGTGCCATGTTGGAATGCCACGCCTACTCCATCTCAGGGATAAGGAGTATATGAGGCGTGGCACATCCCAAGAACGGATTGATCAACAGCGAATATTCAACACGTTGTTCTTTGTTCTCTTTCTACTAATGGGCGAAGGTGGTGTAGATGTGACTAATGTGGAGTGACAAGTAGCCCACTACAATTTGGGAATCAGATTTCGGTGGTCCACCTCCCCCCCCCCTTCTCCCCAACCCAGGCGAGCTCTCCAGTCGAACAGGGCTAGCTAAATTGCACCAGACTCGTCTGAGAGGATGGAAAAACTTATATATTGGGCGGTCCTCGCAAATGGTTATGCAGGCCATATAATATTCAAACAGTACGAAACAGTCGTTACGATTCTGAATGTGTTAGCCTTTTCTATTCCAACTGGAAACTCTCTGTGCGCTCATTATCGAACGGTTTTAAATCATTGTGACACAGTGTAGCTCTATGATGAGGTTTTTGTTTTATTATTGTACTATTCGTGTGATACACCGGAGCCTCACAATAAGCTGTACGTTGTACATTACGCAGGGGCGTCAGAAATAATCGAATCTTATCATATCCATTAAATGCTAGTGCCTTTTTGTATTGTGATACATTCCCATCAAAATCTTTGTAGGACGCCTTGTTATTCGATGAACGACGGGCAATTCAGCGTCAAGTGTTAGAGGAAAAGCAAGCTTCTTTGGAAGAGAACTAACATTATTATTATTCCCTTTTAGTGTTCATCATACTTCCATTCAATAAGGTGGTTTACGTATGTTCATATTTTCTTAGAATTATACATATAGCTGTGTGTATAGGATTTGTTATTTGTTTTGTTGTTTTTGTTACGAATAAATGCGCTTTCCTACATTTCTTCAGCAATTCAATTTAATGGCTGTGCCATTCACATTTCTCACTAATTTTCTGATTCCGGTGAGCTTTTTTCGTATTCAGTCATCAGTCCAATACACTTGTAGAAATGGAAGCTGAAGATCTGTCAAAGGCAAGATTCGTGAAGGTTTACAATTATCTTGAAGAGCGAGCTGCCCAAGTGGCGGACCTCTTGCAGGTGATTTTTCTTGTGGGACGTTTTGCTTATGCATTTGTTTACTTTTCTTGAATGCACTCTATTATTAGGTAGTGGATAACTCGAACCTTGTCTCTGGTGAGGTCACAAAAGGTCCAAGAACAGCAGCTCAGCGACTTCCAAGGCATATGAGACGGTGAGTGTTTTCATCTTATGTGTTGTTTAGTGTGAGTGAATACAGCACTTTTGTCCGAGGTTTCCCATCTCCCTCATGTTTGCTGAGGACAGAGCTTCTGCCAGCCCTCTCTTTCGTGCCAGGGTCCGGGGGTAATTTCTCATCGCATCTTCTGACTGAGCATTAAAAGGGAGGAAAATAAGGAAAGGGGAGGAGTGAAGCAAGGAGGAAAAGAAGGGAAAGAGGTAAAAAAACGGAAGGAGTAGGCCTTGCGGTTGGCAGATGTACGGAGACCTCGTAATGACAGGTCGCACAACTCGTTCGGTATTCGAAATGCTGTCTAGAGCCGCAATTAGAAGTTTTATCGCAATGTGGTGTTTGTGCTAGGATAGATCGGTGAGGTTGTGCTCGAAAAACGGCTGGTTGGGGAGTTATCACAAGGCTTCTCTCACAATTTCGCGATTTCCGTAGGTAGGGAGAAATGAAGTGTGAGAAAAGTCTTCTGGTTTTCTCAGCTCCTAGGGCGCCCAGAAGATCGTACTTTTCGTTTGATTCGAATATTGTCTTGCGGTTAAGCGTTTTTATTGAGTTGGCAAAAGGGAGGGGGAGCGCTTTCGGGCTCTGATTTGGATAATGTCATCTGTCAGAAGTCCTGCCGATATGTCCTGTTATGCTGAGCACCACAAAATTCACCAGAAGACCATTGAGTTGAGTGTGTGCATCGTGTAGCAACTAACAGTCGCTGAAGTTTACTCTGTTGTGCATTCCGGTGTTTCAGCCGCGCTATGGCGTATGAGGTCCGACGGTTCCCGAAAGGCCTGCGAAGTTATGCTGCTCCTTACTTGGCCAACAGTAAGCACAGGAAAAAACCTCCCAGTCGGTATTTCCGGCGCAGATCTCGGAATCTTCTTCTAGTGGGTGTAGTTTCTTGCTTTGGAACTGTCATATAAATGTGGATATTTCCATGAATTATTTTATTTCAGAATTACATCCGACGACAAAGAAAAATGGTTTGGCTAGAAACACATATTTGGCATGCGAAACGATTTCATGTCGTTGATAGGTGGTTATCTGAGGGCTGCAGTCTTTCGTCAACACTTTCAGATAAGCTTGTTTCAGATGGGGATACCGATTACCGGATAGAAGTTTTCAGCGAAATTTTCGGCCGTGTTATCGTGATTCCGTGAGGCACTGCACTGTACGCGATAAAAGTTACCTATCCTGCATTCTGGTATGTTTTTCTCCTGGATTTCCTGTACGAGCTGTTTTTTATATTCAGTGTTCTGTCTTTATAGATCTCTCATAATAATCAGGAAGAACTTATTTCGATGCTCAGCCCTATCTGTGTAAATTCTGTCTCACCAACATTTGCTTTCAAAAGTGGTCTGGATGGAAGGTATGAAGTGAGTAATGCTATGTTCATTGACTTTTTATGGGTCATTCTAATCATTGTTGTTTTTAATCGACCTCAAATGTGGAATTTTCAAATTCGCTCTTTTCAGGTATCAACTCTTATCTACCATCCTGGTCAATATCCTCGAGGTCTAATTGGACCAGCACGTTTTTTGTGGAGTAAGGAAGGGTTCGTTTTGTGCTGATATTGTTTATTTTTCTTACACTTCCTTCTGGTATTTTCGTTCGAGTACTGCGTGATGCCGTCTTCCGAGTCAGCTTGAGTAACGCACCCCACAGCATCCCCTCTAGGGTAGACCATCTTATCTAAGGCAGCGTTCAGACTTGTAGCGCTACGTCGCGCTACAACTGTAGCGCTACAGCTGTACCAAACTCCAGGTTCCCTTTATGTTTTTTCTTTCTGAATTCAATCCCTTCTCTTTGTTTCTCATGTTTATCTGATCCTGAGCTCCTTTTTTTTCTTTAACACTGAATTTTGATGTATTTTTGATAGAGAACACTGTGATGATTAATTTCA